AGTAAAGGAGGAAATATCTCACTTGAAATTTCTAAACTGAATCTAGACAAGTCCTTCACTTAACATTGGTTTAACTTGAGTTTTACTACTTTATGAAAGCAGTCCATATTCAGAAGATATTCTACTTTCAGTTTTTAAACTTTTATGTTTTCTTAGGCTGTCATTATTGAGTAATTATATTCTCAGCATATTAGGCTGCAGCAAGCCACATTTGCTGTTTGGCCATGCAAGTAAATACAGGTATTCAGTTGTTTATTGTTTAGTTATGCTGTGATGTTCAGTGTGTTTTTGAACTACATAGGATAGATTTATCATGCCATGGCCCTATCATATGTCCATTGACTAAGGAAGAAATCGTTTGTTTACTGATACTACTTTAGTTATGTTCTTTTTTTATGCAATCTTATTTGAAAGAACAAAGATAGGAAGGTCTGAATGGCATTAGTTAATAGAATATATTCTTTCTCTTAGAATAAAGAGATGGGTAAAGAATACTAGAAATAGTGAACTTGACGTTCAAGGATCTCATCTTTGTCCCTTATTCTAGTACTTAACATTTTAAATTGATATTTCATTTAGCCTGTGTCTTTTGGTTGTCATCTGTAAAATTAAGAGTTGGAATAATCAGCCTGTTGCATCTCTGTAATTTTTAGAGTCACCAATATTCTATGGGAGGAGCATGGGTTTGGAGCCAGGCAAATTTGTGTTCATTCACTTCTCAGTTATTTACATTTTAAGTGTAAGGTTTTAAAATGGCTATCATCAAGGAAGGAAAAAGGGACTAGATGCTGGCCTGGTGTGGATGTAGAGAAATCCAGACACTTACACACTGTGAGTGGTGATGAGACCTAGTACAGCCTTCATGTGATTCAGGACTTGGGAGGGAGAGGAAAGGGGCTGGTGATTGTGAATCCGGCCTGTGCTATATAGCCACCATGCCTGGCTACCACTTCATTTAAAAACATGAATTTCTGGTTTACATTCATGTGGTATTAAAAAAAACTAGAATTTCTTTATATGAAGGTTATTGTGTTTGTTTGTTTGTTTCTTTCTTTCTTTCTTTACGTGTCTGCCTTTGGAAACTAACTTGAGTGAATTTATCATGTTCAAGAGATAGCTTCTTTTAGCAGAGTGGGCTTCAGATCCAATCAGAATGCAGTTTGCTAATCCTATATGACTCATGCTATTATTGGACCAATGGGCACATCTTCTCTGGCAGGTTGACATTGGATCATACAAGGTCCACAGCTGGATAAGAACCTTAGTGACTTTTGACTTAGCTGTCTGAGTAGCAATATCTGGCTCTATAAAAGCCACACAGCAGAAGGGGCCTTCCAGCTTAGTTTCTACCTGATATGTGTGATTTCTACTTCCAATTTGTGTGGTACCTTTAATTCAATGGTAGGGTCCAACTTTGTAGTTCTGGAAAGAACCAACATCAGTGACAATGACCTGTATTGTTTGGGGGGCCTTTGAGGTGTTGTTGGTTTAGAACTCACTGAGTGGTAGTCTATACTTGCTACTAGGATTTTCATTTAATAAACCCATGGTCTTAGGAAGGAGACAAATTCTACTTATGATAAATGCCTCTATTCTGTTATTATTTTAATTATATCTTTAGTTAGCCTAAAAAAGAATAGATTTCCATATGGTTTCTTCATAACTTACTAGTTTTAGTTAGCCTTCCCTTCCCAGCATCTCTGTCGTTCATTCCATCAATCTCCTGTTTAAATCCTGCTGTGTTATAGCCCCAGTATTTCTTTCCTCTGCTTTTATACTATATGTGTTCTGTCCCACTCCCAACCCTGTTACAGAATTTTTTCCCTTACTCTTTTCCAACTTTCTGATCTCTGTAGATATTCTAACTTAAACACAGTGCTCTAAAGATTTATGAGCATTATCCGTGTCTGAAAGAACATGTAGCATTTGTCTTTCTGGCCTGGGTTACCTCACTCAGGATAATATCTTCCAGTGTTGTCTATTTTCCAGAAAATTTTAGTTTTCTTTATAGCTGAATAAAGTTCTCTATTTATATTTAGCCCAGTGATATTATCTATTTATTAGTTGATCAGTAGTTAAGCTGATTTAATTCTCTAGGTGTTGTGACTAGCGCAGCAAGGGACATGTGTGTTCAAGTATCTCTGTGTTGGGACAGACTTTTTGAGTATATGCCTGGGAATGGTATGCCTGGGTCATAATTCATTCTATTTTTACTTTTTGGAGGAAAATCCATACTGATTTCCATAATGACTATACTAGTTCTCACCCCCACTTAAAATGTATAAATATGTCTCTTCTCTGCATCCACGTCAGACCTACATCTTGTTATCCCCGCCTCCTCCTCTGATAGTAGCTATTTTAAATGGAATGAGATTAATCTCCATTTCTTTGGTGGATAGCTAAGGTTGTTCAACATTTTAAAGTGTTTCTTGGCTATTTATATTTCTTTATTTGAAAACTGAAGATTTCCATATATTTCCATAACCAATTTTTTTTTAGTTCTTTGTATATTCAAAACATTGATTCTATGTCCACTATACAGCTAGCAAAGATTTTCTGTATTTATGTAGGTGGCTTTTTCTTCAATTAAATTATAGTTTTCTTTGATGTACAAAATCTTTTTAGTTTCACACAGTCTCATTTGTCCTCTATTGATAGTATTTCTTGAATGACCTGAATTCTGCTCAAAGTTCCTTACATGTTGACCTGTATTCTCTAATTTTTGCTATACCTGGTCTTGGATTAAGGGCTTTGATTCCAATTAGAATTTATATACTTACTTTGGTAGGATAAGAAATGGTGGTCAAGTTTCATTCTGCTTGTAGATATTTTATTTTTCTAGCAGCATTTGTTTGAAATGTTCTATTTTTGTCAGTGTGTACTTTTGAAATCATTGTCAAAAATCAGTTGGTTTAAGGACATGTTTCCCTTGTCTGTCCACCACATAAGAAATAAGGGAGAGGTGGCCCTGAGAGCATGAGAGTGGGAGAACTGGCCCTGTCCCTTCCTTGCTGCAGCATTCCATAGAGCAAGCCTTGTACCTCACCTGGTCAGCACAGTAGAGCTGGCCTTGATGGTGTGGGTGTGGATTAGCCAGCCTTGAGGGCATGAGAGCCAGAGAGCTGGCTCTGCCACTTGCTGGCAGTGCTATTAGGTGAGATAGCGGGGGCAGGGCAGGAGAGCTTGCCCTGGTCGTGTGGGTGCCGGAAAGCTACTGCACTGACCTGGTGACCTATCCCCACATCTACCCCATTGATGAACTGCTGGAGTGCATGATGGAGCCAGGCCTACAGATCCAGAAGTAAAAGATCTCCAAATGACAAAGGGCAAGAAGAGTCCTAGTGAGCTTCTAGTATTGATAGTGTAGCAGAAGTCAGAGGTCTGTACCAGACCAAGCCTCACTGCAATGAACATCTGCAAACAAAGAAGTAAGGACAAAAGGGTATACTGTATTTCCACAGTGACTCAACTACAGCTTCCACAATGAGATTTTTTTTTCCTGTTTGGAGAGGTTACAAGGGTAGAGGGGAGGTATGAAGGGAGAGGGAGATAATGGGATTGGGGTGCATGATATAAAATTCACAAGGAACCAATAGAAAGTTCAACAAATCACTTGTTGCCTGGGAGAAATGTTATATATTGCAGAAATATTTTTCATTATTGGTGACTGTGTTCTCTTCAGTTCTTACCTCCATCCTCTCCCCTCCTCCTGTTGTCTTCTCCTTGTTCCCCAATTTTCTTCTCTCTTGCTCTGTTACCACCATTACCAGCCCCTTAGCTATTTCTACCTCTCTTCCTCCTCTTCTGTTTTCTTTGTTTTGAGGCAGTACGCAGGAATTTGCTGTGTAAACCCGGCTAGTCTGTTATCTCTAGTGATTCTCCTTCAATTTGCCTTGTTTACCAGACTGTGTTTCTATGATCCTTCTGCTCTCTGGCTGGGGCTCCAAGTCTGCATCATGATTCCTGGCTCTTGTTTCTTATCTGTATTGAAGAATTTTAAAGTGCTTCTTCACTCATAGTTTTATCTTTTAAAGCTGTATTTCTTTCTTAATATGTCAAGTGGTTTACTCATTTCGTTTTCTTATTTTACACTCCTATTCTATAGCTTTAGAGAAAAATCTCTCTCTTTTTTTAGTTGAAGAATTTGTCTTCTTCTGCCAAGTATTTCCTTCCCTCTATCAGATCTATGTGGTGTTCTTGATCAGTTCTTAAATCAAAAGTAGGTTCTTATTGTTCATACAAAGTATAGTGTATTCAACAAAATCAACGACGACAATAGGATGGAAGATGAGAACTGAAGAGAAGGACATAGTCACCCATAATGAAAACTATTACTATAGTATATTGACGTTTTCCCATGCAACTGCAGCCAACTGATTTTGACAGAGATTTCAAAAGTACACCTTGGAGAAGAGAGCTCATCTCAAACAAATAAATGGCTGTTCACGACATCCAGAGAGGTTACTAATTGTTCATCCAAATTGATTTGGATCAGGAATAGATAACTAGAAGGGAAATACATCACTTAGTACATCTGCGAAGGAAACACTATGGCACAGATACTGTCGTAGGACACAGTGGGTAGTCTGAGTTATTTATAGGCTTTTGTAGACATCTGTGTTCTTTGGTGAGATCTAGGATCTGGCAGGTGGTGACACAGAGGTACAGTGAAAACTCACTTACGGCCCTTTGCATTTCAAGAAGTGATGGCAGAAGATGAGCCAGACGTTGATGACATTAAGTTTCTGTGATATGCTACATGGATATTTTTGATTTGTGGTAGATTGAAAAATAGTCTTATGTAAATATTAAGCTGGTTTACATTTCAGGTTTAGATTGACAGATGCTTATGGATTTATGAAAAATTTCTAAAATTATTTAAAGACCTCATATACTCTTTCAAAACCTCATTTTAATACTAATTCCCTGAACTTTAAATATAATCTCTCTTTCTGATTTTCTAAAAGATTGATCAATAAATTTAATTTCTTTGTTTGTAGCTAAATTATTCAAGTTTGTGGGATACTATATGCATCTTAAGACTGTAATAAAGTGGCAATGTCTCGGGAACCTACTCCACCTCTGCATGGAGATATGTCTACTAGTCCTGTTGCAGAAAGCTGGTGTTACACACAGGTACATGCCATTTAAAATGCATTTGCTGCTTGTCACATACATTTTCTAACAATGACAAGTATTACTGTAAAATTGTAAAGCAATATGGCTTCACTGTCATTAGAATGAATATTTGATTTGTGACCAGATTAAATCATGAGGATAAAAATGGTTTTCTTATCTTGCAGGTTAAAGTAGTGAAATTTTCCTACATGTGGACTATTAATAACTTCAGTTTTTGTCGAGAAGAAATGGGTGAAGTGTTAAAGAGTTCAACATTTTCTTCTGGCCCAAATGATAAAATGAAATGGTAAACATATTTTTTTACTCTATATTTTGTTAACTTTGTGTTTACTGTTATAGTTGGTCCTATGGTCATTAGTATAATCTTACACTAAATTAATAATTAATTCCTAATAAATTAGAGAAATGTAAAAAACTGTGGTTATTTCAGAAATGCTGTTATGATACTAATTTGTAGGTAATTTCAGTGTAGTCTGCCCTTTTTTGTTTATGCCCAAAACTAAATTACTGTAAATGAACTATGCTTTATTTTAGGTGCCTGAGGGTAAACCCAAAGGGATTAGATGATGAAAGTAAAGACTATTTGTCCTTATATTTGCTTCTAGTTAGCTGCCCAAAAAGTGAGGTTCGAGCTAAATTCAAATTCTCTCTTCTGAATGCTAAAAGGGAAGAAACAAAAGCAATGGGTAAGTACTTGGCAAACTGGATAAAGACTTCTCTTCATACTTTACCTGGAAAACTTTGAGATTATTGTCCTCTCTTAAGTCTTAGTCCAAAACGTTTATCTTTGGCCATTGTTTAATTTCACATTTCACATTCGAGCTGAAGTTGTTTCCTATGTTTTAGCTCCATAGAAATATAGAAGTAGTTACAATAACATTAAAATTTAACTGTTTCATGTCCTAAGATAATGAATGTTGCACTTGTCACTTGGAAAAGTAGTTGCTGCTAAAACAGGGTTCCTGGTATATGTCATCAGGAAAGTGTCTCCTTTCCCTTGCCTTTTTGGTGGACATTACAAGGAAATGGAATGGCCTCATATTTTGTCACTAGATTTTTTTTTTTTTAACAGTGAAAGAAAAGAAATTTTCTCCTAGTCAGAGGCTTTTAATTTCCGTTAAATTCTTTACTTCAGAGCTGTGTAAGAGAAGAATGTTAGAGAATATTTACAATGTGTTTTATAGGGTAATAGCCTATGAATGGCCACACTGAACTGTAAATGCTTTCTTAGAAGAGAATCAAAGAACCGAGTAACTTCACTACACATATAATTATTAATTTTTACATTTTCATATTATATATCATGTAAAATAGAGTATTTCAGTTAAAGTTCTATGCTGATTGTATAGATAATGGTATATAATAAATACTTTGCCGAGAATCTTGTGTATTTCACACCATGCAATTGAGCAGTCCTTAAAATATTTGAAACATCTTAGATATTTATTAAAAATTTTTTTACAAATTATACAAAAAGCATTTTGGGGGGCTTTTATGTATAGACGCTTATTTCATGAGATTATATGTAAAATCTCAGGAACAGGAAAAGGCTTTTTAACATTCTCACTAACTTGAAGTTTTTCTATAATTCAGCAAATTTAAATCAATAGGATATGTTTGCCAGAAGATTTCTTAATAAGTTAGATCATTTGGTTTTAAGGTGAGAAACAAGAAATGAGATATTTTTTAATGAAGTTTTGACGTTAGATGATGACTACTATGCCAATATCAGTATGATTTGCATTTATTATTTACAGACAACAGGTGTGTGTATCTGTGTGTTAGAAAATGTGAATGCGTAACGTGCATGTGTATCTGTTGTGTCCTTTCCCTCTAAGGGATTTGATGACTTCTCTTAAGAGATTCAGAAGTCTTCATTTAAGTTCAGTGACTGTCGCCAAACTTTGAGGAACAATGAGAGAGTTTAATTCTCCTTGACAAATTTCTTTCAATGCCTTTTTTATACTTGTAGCTCATACATCATAGTGAATATTCTAGCTATATTCTGTACATCTGTATTTCTTTACTATTAAGAAAAAAATTATCTTTGAATCTTGTTTGTTTTAAACCTCTGTTTTCTACTAGAAAGCCAAAGAGCGTATCGATTTGTACAGGGGAAGGACTGGGGATTTAAAAAATTCATTAGAAGGGATTTTTTGCTTGATGAAGTTAATGGTCTCCTTCCAGATGACAAGCTTACGTTATTCTGTGAGGTAGGTATGCTTTTATTAATACATAACTGCATGGTTTATTTACTGATGTGGAAAAAGAGTAAACTATTAATACAGAGTGTAATTTTAAAATGAAAGTGATTGGTTTATTTTACAAGGTTTCTTTGTAAATTCTTTTTTAGAAAAATCTGACTAAAATAATCTTACAAATCAACATGATGTTTTATATTTTTGCCATGTCTCTAGTTTTTTCCGTAGTTATACTACCACATACTCAATATATATCATTGTGTACATTTAATATCTTCTTTAGTTTGAATAACGCTGACATAGCCAGTTTTATAGATTAATCTGATACAACCTTATGCAGTTTATAGTTTGAATGAAAAAGCATGTGGAAAACATTGGGAAGCCTTCTGGTCCTTCAAGCTATTGGATTAACGTAGTGAACTCTGTGTTAATAGTCTAAAAAACAAACCTGATATTTTAATAGTGTGCACATATAATTTGGCATAAGAATATTTGCTTAATTTGTATTCATAATGTATCATATTTTGAAAATTGTATATCCTCTTCCAGGAATTTACTCTTAGGACTTGTGTTAAGTTTAGATTTGGGTTTGCTTATGTCATTTTTATCATTGGGTGGTTTTATTGATATGAAATCATAAAATTCAACTTTTGGAATAAACTCAAAGAGCATATTATTTCTGGTACAATTTTATTGATATACTTAAGGTAGCAGATACATTTCTTAAAATATCAATATGCTTCAGCAAATTAATGTGAAGAGGTGAATATAGTAACTTCCTTAACTACTGAATTAACTTTAGTCTCTGTAGTCAATGAATAGAAACTTTCAAACTTACAAACTCTGTATTGTTGTATTATATCATTCTGAAGTATGTATAGTAATTAAAGTATGACCACAGAGAAATACATACATAAATGAACAGCATAATTCATTTGTTATAAATACAATTATTGGATTGTTTCCTCGTCATTTCAAGCGATTAAAACTTGAAGCATTTGTTTGTAGTAAGCAGGCATTTAAGTAGTATTTTAAATAGATAAAATTATTATAGTGTTTAAATTTTGGCCTTTAATGTAGACTCTTTCAGAATTTTAGAATTGATCTTAATTTGAAAATGTTAGTTTTTTTTTTTTTTTAAGGTCATCTTATAATTTAGTGGTCCTTACACATTATTTGAGTAATCTATAAAACACAATCAAACAAAATGGCCTGATAGTTTTGACTGATGATTTAACCTTTTTTAGAAAATAATCTGCATCATAGAACTGAAATAATGTTTTTTAGTAGGTATTTTTCTCGGTGTATTTACTGGAACCTAGACAATAAATTCAGAATTAAGGCTGAAATTAATTTTAAGATTATTCAAGTATGTGTATGTGTTATCAATATGCTAAATAACACATTCTAGTGACCAATAAAACTTATTATTACATATTTTTAAGGTAATCCCATTTTTAGATCTTGAAATGTGCTTTTCACTAGCCCAGACATTATCTCTTGGGCACTATCTTTACTATACATGGGCAAAATCACCTTTTACATTCTTTGTGCCCTCCATCATTCCTTCCACTCCTCTCATGGATGCCCTTCATTCTACAGCATCTCCAACACTGCTTGCAGAAGAGGTGGAAGCATTGCACTGCCCTCCCTAAAGAACTGGCACCTCCCCTCCACTGCAAGTGGTGCTGTAGACAGGTAAGGCAGCTGGGTGCTACTTTTTTTGTGCAAGACATAGTTTAGTCTTGCAGTCTATGTAGTGGGAAGCGTTAGATGAAAATCTTTAACAGTGTAAACAGCTCTGCTTCCTTTCTCCAAAATGATGCACAAACAGAAATTGAGAATAAGTTGGAGAAATAGAACACTGGTTAGAGTCACTCATATTTTGAAACCTTAAAAAAAAATATTATTGATTGTTGGGAGCCGACTCTTAGCCGAAAGTGGCTATCATCTTTACAGCCATCTTGAGCCATATACCCTGACAAGAGACTTGTTTCAACAGCCTGCAGTAGCTGAGCACACTCTGATAAACATCTTGTTATACTGTTTAGTGTCCCCAGCTGCCAGGTGCTCCTGGTATCCATGGCTACAAGGCACGTGACGTAGTGGCTTCAGTTGAGATTGTCCACGAGGGCAAGTCACGTGGTAAAGGGTATAAATACCCAGGATTTCCTTTCTATTGAGGAGGTAGAAAGAGGAGGTAGAAAGTAGGAGGTAGTAAGTAGTAGGAAGTAGGAAGTAGAGGAAGGAGTGAGAAAGTGAGAGGTGTCAGGAGACTGAAGGAGTGAGAATATAGTAAGAAGAGAGGAGAATAAAGAAGAGACTTGAAGAGACGCCACCGGACTCTGTCTTGTATCTATCTTTTGCGTCTCTCGCCCTTTTTCCCCCTTCCTCCGTCCCCACTCTCTCTCTTGCTAGACCCTGACCTGCGGACCGGAGCAGCAGAACCGGCCGGCCTTTACAAAGTAACAGAACCTGACGGCCGTTACAAAAGAAACGGCCGTTACAATTGATAGTCTACAGATTTATGTCATTCCTTGAGAAACAGAGAAATATATATATATAGTTAAAATAAATGAGCTTTTAATAAAGCTGAACTCATTCTTTCCTAAGGACACATAAAAATATTCCTATTGATAAGTTATCCTTTTAATAAGGTCTGTTTACTACATTGTGGTAATATGTAGAAGATGGGTTTTATTTCATAGCTGAGAAATGAAAAGTTGATTACCCTGTTGCTATGACCAGAACTTTTAAAGTGGGATCTTGAAACCCCCAAGCTCCTTTTATCTCCCTTTATTAGGAGAGATGCAAAGCTGGACTTTTTGTAGTCAGTCTAGAGGTTAAGCAAGTAGTTGATTCTAGTGACATTGTAATACTGTGTGGGTTTAAGAAATAGCTCCCTTTTAGGCTAGTTTTACAGGGTTCAGGTTTTTAAAGGTTAGAACAAGTACTGTTCAGTCAGAGCAGAAAAGAACTAGATTTGTGAGCTAGATTCATAATACAGTTATACCCCTCAAATATTCATCTTCATTATAAGCTATGACCTTATGGTGAACCAATGGCAAGTTTAAAAAGAGAATTGTCCTGTGTGTTAAGTCAGCAGAGAATCTCAGCCTTCTTCCTGAATTTTCTCTCTAGGTTCCATAAAGTTGTTTATTACCTCTTCTCAATGTTTTTATCATTACAAATTAATAGATATCAAAATAGTGAGAACCCATCGCTTCTCAACTTTATTTAGGTCATTAATTTCTATTTGAATTGAAATGCGTGGTTGCTTTGATGCACTAGATAGATACGCAAGGAATGCAAGCCCTTTACATTATGATTGCTTATACAGAATGTAGCTGTGCACCACTCCTCAATGATAATGTCTCTGTTTTCTTATTCTTTTACATACTTATTTTATATATGATTGTGTGTCTTCTGCCAAGTTTTTATATTAAATATGTTAGCTTGGGTCCCAGGGAGATAATTCAGTGTGTAAAAGCACTAGCCATGCACACCCTTGATGACCAGAAAACATATAAAAAGGCAGTTATGATTGGGCTGTAGTCCCAGCACTCCTACAGTAAATGAGAGGCTGAGACAGGCGAATCAGACTGAGACTTGTGGTCTAGCTAGACATAACATGATAACAAGCCAGCTTCATCCTCAGAAACAAAGTAAGGAGAGAACTGATTCTTCAAAGTTCTCTTCTGAGCTCTGCATCGATGGTATGACACTTACGCACTTTTAGTTTATACATACACACGCATGCATGCAAACAGACAAATGTTATATTGAATTAGAGACAACACATGGAACTTAAGAAATCTTTTCTTATATAAATTGTGACCGTATTTTTTATAACTACTGTGTAATTTATGTAGGTAATTAAACAATCCAGTTCTCTCTACTTAAAATTTCAAAGGTAATTATTAATATAAGCAGTTAGATATATTATATGTTAAAAATGATCGCTGAATAAATTGAGTATATGTTTACATCAGCATAGTCCATTTGTGTATCATTGTCTTTTGATAGACAGTAAGATAGGGCAAGGAAGTAAAGATCAGTGGAGTATTTTTTTTCTTTGTAGTTACCAAAATTTTAGATACTTTGAATTATGGAAGTCTTAAGATAGAATCTTTGTGTATAGCTTTATGTACATATTAGAACCTTTGTGTATGGTTTTATGTACATAGTATCTTGGCCCCGATATTTAGAAAATAAGGTTATTGTAATAAATACTTTTGTTCATAATTGTATGTTTTATATGTAGTATAAAGACCTGAGGAATCTGGAGGTATATGAAGCCTTTTCTGATACAGATTACCCATGTGATTTACATTGCTTTATTTACCTTATGATACCAGTCTGAACTGTCTGTAAGATAAAGTGAATAGATCAAAATACCTCTCTGTCATGTACACTTCCAATCTAAATTTTGTCTAGCATTTCCTCATAAGTGATTAGTAACTTATTTGAAGCACACATTTCTGTATGCTAGTATATCAGGCCTCTAAACCTTTTAAGCAGGATCATGTATTTGCATGTTAATAATCTGCTCCAGTTTATCTGTTACGCCTTTTCATTTTCTACGTGGTTTATTGTAATACGTGTTTCCTGCATGGTGGGTTTTTTTTGTTGTTTTTGTTTTGTTTGTTGGTTGGTTGGTTTTTTTTTTTTTTTTTTTTCTGCGCTAGGACTCCGTACTGAACCTGGAGCTTCCTCATTTGGCTGACTGGCCGGCAAACATTAGGGATCCTCATCCCTCAGCCTTCCCAGTGTTATGATTGCACTTGCTGCTATAAATTATTATGTTTTTCACTTGGGTACTGGAGATCAAACTTGGATCCTCAAATTTGCACAGCAGTTTGCCAGCTGAGCCATCTCTCAAGCCAAGTGTGTACACTTAAATTACATTCTCAAGAAGTCAATTCATTTGTCTACTACTTTGTAAAAAATGTTCCCATTCTCAATATTTAGTACTCAAAAGCATAACTAATACAGCACATGCAATTTAACTTTTCAAAATTGTTCATTTGTTCTGAACTATTTGGTTTGTTAGTTAGTGTTTCTTTTCTGTTGTTCATTGTAATATGAAATGATAAAAGTAATACAATGGAGTGCTTTTTTTTAAAGATGGTGCAGAGGTTATAAGATGTGACTCTGTGAACAACGATGTGTAATGAAGGATCTGCATAAAAGCAGCGTCACAGTTGTCCCACTTCTTACTTAGTGCTGCACAGATGAATAAAACATATGCATGTTGAACTAAAGTACATTTGTATTGAACTCACCTTTGACTTTCCAGAAAATGTCGTGAACTTTAAAAATTACAGTGGGAATTCTTTTTCTTAAGTGTGTCTTTTACTTAAATTTAACTTAAAAATTTTATATCAATTTTAGTAGATATTTAAATCAATTCTACTGTTGTTGAAATGTGTGGGAATAGTGATTAAGTTACCAATTTTCTTTTTATATTTATTTTATTATGTGTGTGGGTTGTTTGCATCTGTGTCTCTATACCACTGACTGGTGCCTAGGAAGGTCAGAAAAGAGTGTTGGATCCCATGGAGTTACAAATAGTGGTTCTGGAACCCATGTCCTTTAGAATGACAGGCTGGACTCTTACCTGAGTACTGAGCTATTTCTCTTCCTCCAAGCTTCCAATTTTTATATAATAGTTTTATGTCTTTAAAAATTATGAAAGTTGTACATATAATAAAATTGAAATGTTAATAGGTGTGCAGTGTAAGTAAAAAAAAAAAAAAAACCAAAGATTCCTTCACAAAAATGTCAACTCCGTAAATCTGATGATATTGTGAAATTTCTAGTAGGAAATAATTTAGTGGTTGTAATAAATGAGCTTTCTAATCAATTAATAAGCCATTTATTTACATACAGTGTCACACTGAACAAGATTTAGGTTATATCTTAGTTCCCCTAGGCTGTTTCTCTCATTTATATCATTAAATATGTTTTGAGGGTACTAGAATTTGGGATTATTAGGTATTAGGTATATTGAATTAAGATATCTTAAATATAATAAAATGTGCACATAGTAACTAGTGATTAATAATGACGTATGAAGCTGTTTTCCTTGTGTCTTCTTTATTAGGTGAGTGTGGTCCAAGATTCAGTAAATGTATCAGGACATACTAATACAAACACGCTGAAGGTGCCAGAATGTCGACTAGCAGAAGATTTAGGTAATCTCTGGGAAAACACAAGATTTACAGATTGCTGCTTTTTTGTGAGAGGAAAAGAATTCAAAGCTCATAAGTCTGTGCTTGCAGGTACCTTTTCCTTTGGATAATATAACATTTTAAAAATAAATTTATGCATTGAGTAATGATGCTTATTCTTGTTATAGCTCGATCCCCAGTTTTTAATGCAATGTTTGAACATGAAATGGACGAATGCACAAAGGTAAATGTTGTTAAAAGGCTTCATATTATTTAATTTGTATATAGTATGTGTATAGAATGCACATATTAAAAATATCTGTGCATGTTCTTGTTCTCAAATTATAATAGAAAGAATTTAGAAACTGGGGAAAATGTGTCCTCTAATAAAACAGCAGATGCTCTCAATGTGGATGCTCACTGAACATTGTAAGGAACAACTGTTTTCATGGTCTGATTGTTAGAGCACTTCCTAGTATACAGAAAGCCTTGTGATTCGTCTCTAGTGAGAGAGGGGGAAGGGAAGAAATCACGCTGGGGATATTATTGAGTAACTTCTGGCTTCTAGGCATAAATTACCCACCTGTGTATGGACTTATGTTCAAGTTTTTTTTTGAATTATATTTTTTAATAAATTGACTTAAAAAATATCAAATAGTAAGCTTTGGAGTTTTTTCCCCATTGCTTTTGATTATTCCTTCCTCTTATATTTTCTCCTGCATTCCCTGACTCATTCCCCATGTAAGAAACCATTTCCATCCTTAGTATTTCTTCTCTCTACTGTCATAGAATATGTTTTCTACTTCTCTCCCCTCCATTTAGGCTTGTACTGTTCTACTTCCACTAATGGACCCGTTATAAACCTTTGCATAGTCTAAGAATTCAAAGGTAGAATCCTGAGAAAGACCGTGGGGGAGTTTTTCTGTTCAAGGCCTGATTACTTCATTTAATATATGGTATTTTCTAGATCAATCTGTTTACCTGAAAATTTCATGATTGATTGATTGATTAATTAATTATTGCACCTGAGTAAAATTCCAAAGTGCATTTTTTGCTTGTCAGTTTTGATGGATATCCAAGTTGCTTATATTTCTTGGCTATTGTGAATAGAATAACAATGAACACAGATATATAAGTTTCTCGGTAGCCAGGTATTTATTCCTTTAGATATATTCTCAGGAGTGACATAGCTTGGTCATGTGACAGATTATTTGTAAACATCCACACAAAGTTGTACCAGTCAGTATTCCCACCAAAAGTGAATAAAGGGCTTTATTTATATCCTCAGCATATTTTTTGTTTTCTTGATAAAAGCTATTTTGACTGGGATAAGATGGTATCTCAGAGGAGTTTTAATTAGTGTCTTCTCAGTGGCTAAGGATGTTGATTTGTATTTCTTTTAAGAATTATGCTTTAAAGTATGGTCCATTTAATTGGGTTGTTTCTTGATTTTTAGTTCCTTGTATATTGTAAATATTAATCTTCTATCAGATTCATTGCAGATAAAATTTTTTTCTCATTCTGTAGATTATCTCTTTGTTAAATAGTTTCCTTTGTGCAAGCTTTTAATTATATGAAAGGTCCTATTTGTTGATTGTTGACAGTATTTCCTGAGTAACCAGAATCATCTTTACAATGTCCTTTCTTGCATCTGTGTATTTAGTATCTTTTCTGCTTTTTCATCCAGGCATTTCAGAATTTCATGTTTTATGTTGAGATCCTTGATCCTTGTGTGTTCTCATGTGCACTTCTCCAAGCTCTTTTTGTCTCTCCCTCTTTTTCTTTCTCAAGCAAGGTTAGAAAGTAGGGTCTAGTTCCAGTCTTTTGCATGTAGATACCCAGTTTTCCCAACACAATTTAAAGATGCCTTGTCTAATATGTTTTTGGCATCTTTGTCTGTAGAGCATGAACTTACATTCACACCATTTCTTTTTAATCTTGCATTGATTCTGTGTCTGTTTCTGCGCCAGCAGCATGTTATTATTACTAGGACTTTTTAGAATAACTTGAAATCAGGTATTGTGATACCTTCAGAAGAATTCCTTTTATTCAAGATTATTTGGGCTATGCAGAGTATTATCCACTTCCAGGTGAGTTTTAAGAGAGTTTGAGGGAGGATTTGTTTGATTTTTCTGCTGTTTTTTTTTTCTTGTTTTTCTTGTTTTTTCTTGTTTTTTTTTTTTTGTTGTTGTTTTGTTTTTTTCCTATTTATGTTAAGAATAGGCCTAACATTTTATTGGGATTACTTTGAATCTGTAGATTTCTCTTGATAGGATGAATGTTTTCTTTTTTTTTCTTTTCTTTTTTTCTTTTTTCTTTTTTTTCTTTTTTGTTGTTGTTGTCTGATCTTTATTTGATTGAGAAAAGGAATTCTGAGAACAGAGCACATATTAGATAACTTGAACCAAATGCTGTGCCCTGATTGTCCTAAAACTTACTCTGCAGACCAGAATGGCCTTGAACTCATAGATATTCACATGCTTCTGTCTCTGGAGCACTAATACTAAAGGCTGTGCCATTACCTCCAGGCTGTTGTAACTTAGCTAGCACATGCTGCCTGGTTGGTGGTTCAGTGTCTGAGAGATCTCGGGATCCAGGTGAGTTGAGACTGCTGGTCTTCCTATGGGTTGCTTTGCTAAATGTCTGCATCTATCTTAGTCAGCTGTTTGTAGGGTCTCTTAGAGGGCAGCCATGCTAGGCTCCTGTCTGTAAGCACACCATGACATCAGTAACACTGGCATGCCTTGGAGCCTCCCCTTGAGTTGGATCCAAATTTGGGCCTGTCACTGCACCTCCTTTCTCTCAGGCTCTTCTCCACTTTTGTCCCTGTAGTTCTTTTAGACAGGAACACTTCTGGGTCAGTAAATATGACTATGGAATGAAAACCCCAACCTGCCACTTGATGCCCTGTCTTTCTACTAGAGGTGGGCTCTACAAGTTCCCTCTCTCCATTGTTAGGCATTTCATCTAAGGTTCCTCCTGTCGAGTCCTGAGAGTCTCTCACCTCCCATGTCTCTCTGGTACATTCTAGAGGGGACTCCACCTCCCATCTAACCAGGTTGCTTCTTTTTAGTCATTCTACTGGCCCTCAGGGCTTCACTCCTGTCCCCCCAAACCCCCGCAATACCTGATTTTGTTCCCCTTTTCCTTTCCCTGTCTCCTCTCCCATCCAGGTCCCTCCCTCTGTCTGCACCCTGTGGTTGCATTCTTCTCCCTCCCAAATGGGATTGAGACATCCTCACTTGGGCCCCTCCACTTGTTAACCTTCTTGAATTCTGTGGATTGTATCCTGGGTATTCTATACTTTTTTGACTAATATCCACTTATTAGTGAGTACATACATTCATGTCCTTTTGGGTCTCAGGTACCTCAATCAGGTTGATACTATTTTCTAGTTCTATCCATTTGCCTGCAAAACTCATGATGTCCTCATTTTTAGTAGCTAAATAATATTCCATTGTGTCAATGAACTGCATCAACTATATCCATTCTTCCATTGTGGAACATCTGAGTTGTTCCTATTTTCTGGCTATCACAAATAATAAGGCTGCTATGAACAAAGTGAAACATGTGCCCCTGTGGCATTGTGGGTCATCTTTTGAGTATATGCCCAAGAGTGGTATAGTCTGGTCTTCAGGTAGATCTATTTCTAGTTTTCTGAGAAACCTCCAGATTGATTTCCAGAGTGGTTGTACCAATTTGCAATCCCACCAACAATAGAGGAGTGTTCCTCTTTCTCCACATCCTCACCAGCATGTGCTGTCACTTTAGTTTTTCATCTTAGCCATTCTGATTGGTGTAAGGTAGAATTGCAGGGTCATTTTGATTTGTATTTCTCTGAAGACTAAAGATTGAACTAAGTGCTTCTCAACCATTCGAGATTCCTCTGTTGTGAATTCTCTGTTTAGTTCTATACCCCATACTTTGAATGTGTTGTTTGGTTTTCTGGAGGTTAGCTTCTTGAGTTCTTTATATATTTTGTTTGTTTGTATAGGTGGATTCTATTGATATGTTTCCGTATATTGAACTATCCCTGCATCCCTGAGATGAAGCCTACTTGATCTTGGTAAATGATGATTTAGATATGATCTTGGATTCTGTTTGCAAGAATTGTATTGAGTATTTTTGCATCGATATTCATAAAGGAAATTGGTCTGAAGTTCTCTTTTTTTGTTGGGTCTTTGTGTGGTTTGTTTATCAGTGTAATTGGCTTCATAGAATGAAGTAGGTAGTGTTCCTTCTGTTTCTATTTTAGGGAATAGTTTGAGGAGTGTTGGTATTAGTTCTTTGAAGGTCTGATAGAAATCTGCACTAAAGTCATCTGGCCCTTGTTTTTTGTTTGTTTGTTTGTTTGTTTGAGAAGTTTTTAATAACTTCTATTTTTTTTTTTAGCAGATATGGTCCTGTTTAGATAGTTCACCTGATCTTGATTTAACTTTTGTATGTGCTATTTGTCTAGAAAATCATCCATTTCATCTAGATTTTCCAGTTTTGCAGATACAGGCTTTGTAGTAGGATCTGATGATTTTTTTTTTAAATTTCTTCATTTCTGTTGTTATATCTTCCTTTTCATTTCTGATTTTGTTAATTTAGATACTGTCTCTGCTCTTTAGTGCTAAACTGGCTAGGGGTTTATCTATCTTGTTGATTTTCTCAAAGCTTTTGGTTTTGTTGGTTCTTTGTATCATTCTATTTGTTTCTATTTGGTCGATTTAGGTCCTTAGTTTGTCTATTTCCTGCTGTCTTGGGTGTGTTTGCTTCATTTTGTTCTAGGGCTTTCAGGTGTCCTTTTAAGTTGCCAGTGTAGGATATCTCCAGTTACTTTAGGAGGGCTCTTAGTGTATGCGTTTTCTTTTTAGCACAACTTTCATAGTGTCCTATAAGTTTAGGTATGCTGTGTCATCATTTTCATTGAATTCTAGGAAGTCTTTAATTTCTTTCTTTACTTCTTTCTTGAACAAGTTTTCATTGAGTAGAGAGTTATTCAGTTTCCATGGGTATGTGGGTTTTCTGTTGATTTGTTGTTATTGAAGTCTAGCCTTAGTTGATGGTGATCTCATAGCATGCATGGGATTATTTCAATCTTCTTGTCTGTGTTTAGGCTTGTATTGTGACTGATTATATGGTCAGTTTTGGAGAAGGTTCCATGAGATGCTGAGAAGAAAGTATATTCTTTTGTTTTAGGGTAAAATGTTCTGTAGATATCTGTTAAATCCATTTGGTTCACAGTATCTGTTATGAACT